GCAGAAGCTATGGCCAGAATCAAAAACATTAATGACCAGAAGTTTGAATCTCTACGTAATTCTTCTCGGCTAAAATTCAATGAAAATTAATAAATTAATAATTATATTAATAAGCAAAAATAATAAAATAAAAAGTAAATTCTTACTCAGTTTTGGTTAAAGAATCCAATACATTTATTAATAGAATTGAAAATATAGGTAAAATTAAACCACTGATAACAGAGCTAACTAAACCCATGAATAATAATGGATATTCTGGCTTTTGAAGTTTAAAGATTTTCCCATAAGGGGATGGTTGTTCTAACTTTTTGTCTTCCTCCTCTTCTAAACTTTTCAATGATCTATCTGTTGAATCTTTTGTAGTCATTCTACGTAAATTGGCATTCTTGCCTTTTTTATCAGAAATGATTTGGATTGAATTTTTTGTGGACATTCTTCGTAAAAAGGATCTCTTATCTTTTCTTTCAAATTCTATTTTTATATCTGGATCATCTTGTGTTATATCAGCTTCATCCTCAGATTGGGAAGAAACATCAATTTCTTCCACATCTTTATCTTCTTCGACTTTTAATTCTTGTGCTTGAACTAAGTCATAATAAGCTCCACGTTTCGCAATTAATTCTTCATGGTTCCCAATTTCCACAATTTCACCTTGATTCATCACCACAATTTTATTCGCGTTTTTAACAGTAGATAGTCGATGCGCAATGACTATTGATGTAAAACTTTTTGAGGCTGTGGCTTTATCAAGAGCCTCCTGAACGAGATGCTCAGATTCAGTATCAAGAGCTGATGTTGCTTCATCTAATAATAATATAGATGGGTTCTTTATAATTGCACGTGCAATAGCAATTCTAATGGAGTATAAAATTTAAATATTATAATATAAAAATTTGCACTTGATAACAAATTTAACAAAAAAAATTACCACAATTACCTTTGTTTTTGTCCTCCAGACAATAAAGAACCTTTATCTCCGACTTCTGTGTCATAAGATTTTGGTAAATCCTTAATAAATTCATGTGCATTAGATTTTTTGCACGCTTCAATTACTTCATCTAAACTTGGTTTTTTGTCATCTGAAATTTCACCCCACGCAACATTCTCTCTAATACTTTTCGGGAAAAGTACAGGCTCTTGTCCCACAAGACCAATTTGAGATCTTAACGATTTAACATTAATTTTTTCGATATCTTCTCCATCAAGAAGAATCGATCCATTAGTTGGATTATAGAATCTTTCTAATAGGGCAACTATAGTTGATTTTCCAGATCCTGAACTACCAACTAAAGCAACTGTTTCTCCAGAGTCAATTGTTAAGTTAAAGTTTTTTAATATTTGAATATCTGGACGAGATGGATAAAAGAAATTTATATTTTTGAATTCTAGGCGTCCTTTGACAGAGTTTTTATCAAGAATGATTCCAGTCTTTGAATCTGAATCAATTGCTGAAATACGATCAATAACATTGAAAAGATTGTAAGCAGCCCCACGAGCATTTGCAATTGCTGTAAAGCTTGGACTCGCAGAGCCAAGTAACCATGCTGTAGATGACAAATTGTACAGTAAAATTAAGTATATACTTCGGAATTGTTGCTTGTAAATTAAAGGTTAATACTTGAATACTTACCGCCAAGGATAACCGCCAACACAACATAATATACTTCCCCAGAGGTCATTTTTCCATCATAAACTAAAGTACCACCATACCAGTATCCCAATGCGAGAATCCCAAAAAAGACAAAATTTATAAAGCCGAAACTTAAACCAGTAGTTAATGCCTTCTTTTTCCCAATTGTATAAGCACCTTTTAATTTTTGGCTATAACGAGCAATTTCACGTTGTTGACCTAATATTTTAATAAACAATTGATTAACACTGGAATAAAAATATTTAAGATATTAATAATAAAAAGGTAATATTTAAAAGTACCTCCAAAGGCTATCACTGTTCGAATGCCAGAAAATACCTGCTCAGCTACATTTCCTGCTTCTGCGTAAACCTCTTTGTAAAATTAAAATAAAATTAATTTATGTAGTTTATGTAAAAATTGATAAATATGATCTAAATTTATGTATTTACCTTGTCCCTTTTTAGTTGAAGCTTCGATAATGTATCCAAATAGAACACCAGCCGCAATTAATAATGGCAATGTACTATCATTTGAGTTAAAATTCATTAGAAATAATTTTTTTTTAAATTAAATATCATTTAACTTATTTAATTACCTGCACATGACAAGAGTAAGTTTCCATGCTAAATTCATAAATTCATGAAAGTTAATTCATATTACATAAATTAATAAGTTATCTTCTTCAAACTTTACCTTTTGTGAATCCAATTACAAATCCCCCAATAAATGATGCAAGGTTTTGAACAATTAATCCAATCTTTTCAGAAATACCATCTTTTAAATGATAAAAAAAAATGTAAATTTTCATAATCTTGAGTAATTGATTTTTTATAAACACAAACCTTGGAATAAACTTGCATCTGAGGATATACGATTTGTGATTTGTCCTGTCGATGTTGATTCAAAGAAAGCAATTTCTTGACAAAGGATTGATTTATAATATAATTGACGAAGTCGCTAAATATATATTTATTTATTATTTAAATTTTGATTTATTTATTTATTTGTTTTCTGAAAAATATTTACTGCGATAAATACCATCACTTGTCTTTCCCCTGCAACCATCCAAAGTGTTATCTGTAAGTAGGAAAATATTGATACTGCCCCTCCAATAGCAAGAAAATATATGGTTTGTTTTAGTATATCTCTTTTCAATTCATCTTTAGCATCTTCTGTTACTGCATTTGCTGATAATAAAACCCCGTAACGAAGCAAAGCATCTAAAGCATTACCAATAATTATTGTTTGATAAGGAAATGCTGCTCCATTTGCGGCAGCACATATGCTACCCACAAACATCATCAATATATCAAGAAATGTAGCATAACGAAATAATTGAAAAAAGCCAACTGCATTAGTCGGTTTATCATTAGAATCTTTTGTTTCAGTATTATCGTCCTGAGATGATTTTTCATCATTATTAGAAGTCATTTTTCATGCAATTGAGAATTAATTGAATTATACTTGAGTTTTTATAAATTTGTCAAATTGGTACACATATTTTACGCTGTATACATATGGTTCACTGCGGGCCATTATTTGAATGAAAAAAAAAATTTTTTTAATTCATTGTTTGAATGAAAACAGACAGATAATAATTTAAGCCCAGATTTAGTAATTGTCGGGACGAGAATTCCTATGTTTAATTTGGTTTTTGGTAATAAGGCTTTTATAACCCTATTAATGTCTACTGATTACACGTTTTATGTCATGACTTTAAAAAAGGTATAATTAGTTAATTACACGCTCCTTTTTCTTAGCTAGATTGACTTCGTTTATCAAGTAATTTTCCGAATACAATACTTTTTTATTGGTTCTGTTTTCATGTAGTAATACTGATCAATTTGACCGTTTTATGGAGATGTATTCTTTTCAAAGTTGTGATAATAGATAGATATAATGATGCAAAATCCACTGGGCACTTATTATTGAGACTTTTGATTGGGGAAATACATTTCTAGATTCTACATCTTTACGTGGTATCACACTAACTATGAAATTTGTGCCCAGAGCTAAATCCAGATTATTCTTTCGAGCAAGAAAAAGTTGTCTTAGGGAATAAAGAATTGTCCACATAATTTTATTTTTATATTAAATTATTAAATTAATATAATAAATTTATTGTATTATATTCACAGCAATTTAATTCTTGATTTATTTCTCAGTAAAAATTTATATGATAAAGATGTAATTTAAATTTCAGTGTGTACATTAAAGAAAAAGTAATGAGAATTTTGAACTTTGTTCTCTTATATTGTTATATTTATTATTTATGTTATAATTTATACATATGTTTTAAATTAATATATTATAATGTTATAAATAAAATTTTGTTATTGTTTTCTAAAACCCCTCCTTTTAAGAAGAAAAAAAACTAGTATACTTATTCTTGAGATCCTAATACTTGAGATCCTAATACTTGTTTGCTGACTAATTCAGAATATTATCCACGTTGAGCAATTAACTCAAAATGAGTTCCTGTCTCAACAATTTTACCTTTATTTAAAACTAAAATCATATCCGTATTTTGAATTGTTGATAATCTGTGGGCGATTATAATTGTTGTAAAATTTTTACTTGCTTTATCAATTGCTTCTTGAACCAATTTTTCAGATTCAGAATCCAAAGCAGAAGTTGCCTCATCAAGAAGTAAAAGTTTAGGATTTCGGATTAAAGAACGAGCAATTGCAATTCGCTAAATATTTATATAGTTTATATATTAAATTTTGATCAAACA